TCTATCTATCTATCTATCTATCTATCTATCTATCTATCTATCTATCTATCTATCTATCTATCATCTGCTTTAGGAGCCCCAAAATTCTTCTAGGGGCTTAAGAGAAAATTAGCTATGTAAACCGCATGCAAAGAGAAAAATGCAACTTAGAAAAAACAATTATTATGAAAAACAACAAAGAGGAAATTAAAAGGATACCTCCCAAAAATCTTGTTAACAACTGTAATAACAACACACAACAACTGCTAACTCTAAGAGGGAGATGCTAAGGAGACATAAATTTCATGCTATCGGCAGAAGACATCTGAACTAAAAATCAACGGCAACGAACAATGAATTTCACTTTATTCTACATGAAGCTGGAAGAAAAAAATTATTCCGTATCTAAACACAGGAAAATCTTTGAGCCAAGGCAGAAATAAAACACGCCTCTTCGTTCTTGTAGGCTTCATTTCTTGGCAATGTCGTAGTATGACCTGCAATGGAATAAACTTTTATGGGCAATGACAAAGGTTTACTTGCAAGGATAATGTGCCCCTACCTCATCACTGATGCTCCAGGGCATCTGGGGTAGGAAACTAAGAACCGCTTGAGAGAAGGGCTGATGAGGAACGTCATGTTCAAGTAGCAAGACTTCGGTCTCCGTCTCCTTATCGCCAGCTGCTCCCAATTTTTTTACAAAATGTCCCTAAACCAATGCACAATTTGATCAACACTATGAGAAACATCAGATATGAGAGGGAGGGGGGGACGACACACAGAATAATAAAGATAATTGGCAGAACAGTTGTTGTGGGCTGCCAACGGAGCTGGCAGCAGATTCAGACAGTGAGGAGGTTGGGGAGAAACATGAGCCACTCCAGGAGTCTGGGGAAGGCTTTGATGAGGACTCTTTGTCGGAGACAGAGAGGGGCCAGAGCCGTATGGCAGATATCAGCTGCCTTTGGAGTCAGACATCAGTGAAGCAGACGAACAGCTGGAGCCTGTTCCCAGTGTGTGCATGCACAGAGCTGCCAGGAGAATGGAACAGCTAAAGAACAGGGGTTGACTTGGGAATAAGGCCACAGGTGGACGGTGAATGGCCCCTCCCAGACGAAATAAAAGAGGCGTTTGCAGGAGACAATTAGTTTGTTACACACTATGTTTCATTCCCGACTTACGTTAGGATACCGGGATGTTTTAGGCCACCCATCAATAGCCACAATGATTCTTTGCCCTTCGAGGATAGAAGCCTGCCTGGTTTCTATACGTATTCGAGGTATTCTTCGTTCAGCTGGCGTGAATAAATGCCGCCTGGCCTGGCAAGGAACAAGGACAATGGCTTTTATTACAATTAAGAACATAGTCACCAAATCAAGGGTGCGATCTTCTTTGTGCCTACCTCTTTAATGTGTGATTTAGACAGCATGCCACAATACGGCCTCCAGTTCCTTTTGATAATCCCCACAACTTTGCCTGTGGGTCGTAGCATGGCCGTGTTCACTGAAGTCTTCGGCTAAGGGTTTAAGAACACATAGCTGCAATTGAGACTCATGTGGACAAACAAGCCGTTGAATCAGCTACAAGTCTATATCCACTTTCCAATCTCCAGTTGTAAGAAATGGTGTACCCTGCCCTTCTAACATCTGCACACTATTCAGGCTGGTCAACAACAGTTGAAAAACGCCAAAACACACTTATGAAAAGGGACTTCAAGGAAAAGCAGGAAGGTAGAACAGATGAGACATATCGTTGTTATTGCTTTTTGGAGCGGATGTTCGTTGACAATCAAATACTATTTTAATTCATGGGAAAGCCCCTCTGCTTTGTGCCTGCCGCTAAACAGGCTTCAATCGTAGCCTGAATACAACAGAAAAGCTTTACAAGGTATTTCCCAGCATCTCTCACGTAAGGCTGGCTTTAGGGATTCCTTCAACCACCAAGGAACCAACCCATCTGCCTTCCATAGCAGGAAAAGCAAAAACTCTAGGTCAGCAAGGCCATTATGACATCATCGGTTATATTTACGTGCATTTTAGAATCTAGGTCCTCCAGAGCCTGCAATAAAGCTGGTTGTGTGGATTTAGCACTAGGCAACCTTAGGAGTTTAGTGGGAATTTCTGCTCCGGCCAGAAAAAAAATAAAAAAATAAAAATGCAAATGGTTTCTGGCCTTTATAGTTGTCAAACTGACTGGACTGTATGTAGCACGAGGTGGACTTCAAGCAGTCAAGCCTTCACAATAATTTGTGAGAATCCTGAGTGTTTGCTGTTGTTCAACAGTGGAAGTTAATAAACTTCCACCGTCTTCTGGTCTGCTCTCAGTTTCTTAGGCTTCACAAGTTCTAAAGCAGGCCAAGCCAGACTGCAGAACATCCTGGGAATAAGACTGGCCCTAGAGAGACTCGGATTCAAGTCCTCCCTCGGCCGTGGAAGCTGATTCGGACAGTGAGGAGGTTGGGGAGGAACATGGGCCAGTCCTGGAGTCTGGGAAGTCTCTGATGAGGGCTCTGTGTCGGAGGAAGA